GGAGTCTTATTTGTTGGGAGATTTTTGATAACCGATTCAATTTCTTCTCTGGTTATGGGTCTGTTCAAGCTTTCTATTTCCTCCTGATTGAGTTTTGGAAGAGTGTGGGTGTTGAGGAATTTGTCCATTTTTTCCAGGTTGTCCAGTTTGTTGGCATATATTTTTTCATAGTATTCCCTGATAATTGGTTGTGTGTCTGAGGGATTGTTTGTAATAATTCCATTTTCATTCATGATTTTGTCTTTTTGGGTCATCTCCCTTTTCTTTTTGAGAAATCTGGCTAGGGGTTTATTAATTTATTTATATTTTCAAAAAAAAAAACCCTCTTGGTTTCATTGATGTGCTCTATATTTTTTTTAGATTCTATATTGTGTATTTCTGCTGTGATCATTATTATTTCTCTTCTTCTGCTGGGCTTAGGCTGTCTTTGCTGTCTTGCTTCTAGTTCCTTTAGGTGTGCTGTTAGATTTTGTATTTGGGATTTTTCTTGTTTCTTGAGATAGGCCTGGATTGCAATGTATTTTCCTCTCAGGACTGCCTTCACTGCATTCCAAAGCATTTGGATTGTTGCATTTTCATTTTCGTTTGTTTCCATATATTTTTTAATTTCTTCTCTAATTGCCTGGTTGACCCATTCATTCTTTAGTAGGGTGTTCTTTAACCTCCATGCTTTTGGAGGTTTTCCAGACTTTTTCCTGTGGTTGATTTCAAGCTTCGTCGCATTGTGGTCTGAAAGTGTACATGGTATGATCTCAATTCTTGTATACTTATGAAGAGCTGTTTTGTGACCCAGTATGTGATGTATCTTGGAGAATGTTTCATGTGCACTCGAGAAGAAAGTATATTCTGTTGCTTTGGGATGCAGAGTTCTAAATATGTCTGTCAAGTCCATTTGATCCAATGTATCATTAAGGGCCCTTGTTTCTTTATTGACCATGTGTCTATATGATCTATCCATTTCCTTAAGTGGAGTGTTAAAGTCCCCTGCAATTACCACAGTCTTATCAATAATGTTGTTCATGTTTGTGTGTAGTTGTTTTATATATTTGGGGGCTCCTATATTCGGTGCATAGACATTTATATTTCTTAGCTCTTCCTGATGGATAGACCCTGTGATTATTATATAATGCCCTTCTTCATCTCTTTTTACAGCCTTTAATTTAAAGTCTAGTTTGTCTGATATAAGTATGGCTACTCCAGCTTTCTTTTGACTTCCAGTAGCATGATAGTTCTCCATTCCCTCACTTTCAATCTGAAGGTGTCCTCATGTCTAAAATGAGTCTCTTGTAGACAGCAAATAAATCGGTCTTGTTTTTTAATCCATTCTAATACCCTATGTCTTTTGATTGGCGCATTTAGTCCATTTATGTTCAGTGTTATTATAGAAAGATATGGGTTTAGAGTCATTGTGATATCTGTATGTATTATGTTTGTAGCGATGTCTCTGGTACTTTGTCTCACAGGATCCCCCTTAGGATCTCTTGTAGGGCTGGTTGAAGGACGAATTCCTTCAGTTTTTGTTTGTTTGGGAAGACCTTTATCTCTCCTTCTATTCTAAATGACAGACTTGCTGGATAAAGGATTCTCGGCTGCATATTTTTTCTGTTCATCACGTTGAAGGTTTCCTGCCATTGCTTTCTGGCCTGCCAAGTTTCAGTAGACAGATCCGTCAGGCGTCTTGTAGGTCTCCCTTTATATGTTAGACCATGTTTATCTCTAGCTGCTTTCAGAATTTTCTCTTTATCCTTGTATTTTGCCAGTTTCACTATGATATGTCGTGCCGAAGATCGATTCAAGTTACGTCTGAAGGGAGTTCTCTGTGCCTCTTGGATTTCAATGCCTTTTTCCTTCCCCAGTTCACGGAAATTCTCAGCTATTATTTCTTCAAGTACCCCTTCAGCACCTTTCCCTCTCTCTTCCTCCTCTGGAATACCAAATATGCGTAGATTGTTTCTCTTTAGTTCATCACTTAGTTCTCTAATTTTCCTCTCATACTTCTGGGTTTTTTCATCTTTCTTTTTCTCAGCTTCCTCTTTTTCCATAATTTTATCTTCTAGTTCACCTATTGTCTACTCTGCCTCTTCAATCCGAGCCATGGTTGCCTCCATTTTATTTTGCAGTTCATTTATAGCATTTTTTAGCTCCTCCTGACTGTTCCTTAGTCCCTTGATCTCTGTAGCAAAATATTCTCTGCTGTCCTTTATACTGTTTTCAAGCCCAGTGATTAATTTTATGACTATGTTTCTAAATTCACTTTCTGTTATATTGTTTAAATCATTTTTGATCTGTTCATTAGCTGTTGTTATTTCCTGGAGATTCTTTTGGGGGGAATTCTTCCCTTTGGTCATTTTGGATAGTCCCTGGAGTGGTGCGGAGCTGCAGGTCACTTCCCCTGTGCTGTGGTGTATAACTGGAGTTGGTGGGCGGGGCGCAGTCAGACCTGATGTCTGCCCCAGCCCACCACTGGGGCCACAGTCAGACTGGTGTGTACCTTCTCTTCCCCCCTCTCCTAGGTGGGGGATTCACTGTGGGGTGGCGTGGCCTGTCTGGGCTACTTGCACACTGCCAGGCTTGTGGTGCTGGGGATCTGGCATATTAGCTGGAGTGGATTGGCAAGGGCACAGTGTGGGAGGGGCAGGCTCAGCTCGCTTATCCTTTGGTGATCCACTTCAGGAAGCGCCCTGCAGCACTGGAAGGGAGTCAGACCCTCCAATGGAGGGATGGATCTGCAGAAGCACATCATTGGGTGTTTGCGTGGTGCAAGCAAGTTCCCTGGCAGGAACTGGTTCCCTTTGGGATTTTGGCTGGGGGATGGGGGAGGGAGATGGCTCTGGCCAGCACCTTTGTTCCCCGCCAAGCTGAGCTCTGTTGTCCGGGGCTCAACAAATCTCCCTCCCGTTGTCCTCCTATCCTCCTGCTCTGAGAGCAAAGCTGTTAGTTTATAACCTTCCAGATGTTAAGTCCTGCTTGCTGTCAGAACACACTCCGTCTGGTCGATCCGGTTTTGCAAGCCAGACTCAGGGGCTCTGCTTGTTGGCGGGCCGCCCCTCCCCCGGCTCCCTCCTGCCAGTCCGTGTAGTACACACCGCCTCTTTGCCCTTCCTACCCTCTTCTGTGGGTCTCCTGTCTGCACTTGGCTCCAGATAATCCATTCTGCTAGTCTTCTTGTGGTTTTCTGGGTTATTTAGGCAGGTGTAAGTGGAATCTAAGTGATCAGCAGGACACGGTGAGCCCAGCGTCCTCCTACCCCGCCATCTTCCCGACCAATCTCTCCAAATGAGAATCTAGCCATATTCTTTTAGCATCTATCTTCTTCTGTTTCTCATTTCATTGTAGGGAAACTTACTACTCCAGTAGTCTCTACCCTTCCGTAAATCAGAAAAAGCAAGGCACTGGCCTTTCTCATCTTACTACAAGGATACGGTGTGGAGGGGAAGAATACAAAATGGAAACGATGGGGACAAAGACTACAAGTTAGAATCAGGTTTTGCTATAGGAGTCAGGAGAGAATAAGGGCATTACTATTTCTATAATGCTTTCCTGAATGCTAATTATTCAATATAAGTGGTATGCAACCCTTTTTTAATCAAAGTATAATCAACTATAATGCAACCCTTTTTTAATCAAAGTATAATCAACTCTTGTAAAGCAGGATTTTTATTTAGAACTTTCTGTTCTTAATTAAGGGAAGCATCCTTGGCTAGTGGTTTGTCACTGTTGATTTCACATCCACTCTTGACCCCATCTTACCTGCAGAATATAGCGAATTTGCTGTTTTGTAAACGCTGACAATCCTCTGGGAATCAATGATTCAATGTCTTCTGACTGTAAGAAAAGAGAGGCTTATACATTGAAAAGATACACATGAGTATTGTAATTGTAGGGTCTGCAGTTCACAGACTTTTGTGCAGCAGAGCATATTTTTAGGAACATCAAAATATTATTTCAGTTTTGGGCGATAGTTGCTACCAACTTCATTTCTACCGTGATAGTTCTTACTTTTAAAAAAATGATTATAGAGGCACTTGGGTGGCTCAGTCGGTTAAGTGTCCAACTTCTGGTTTCAGCTCAGATCATTATTTCACAGTTTGGTGCTTTCCAGCCCTGCACTGGGATCTGTGCTGACAGGGCAGAGCCTGCTTGGGATTCTCTCTCTCTCTCTCTGTCTCTCTCTCTCTCACTATCTCTGCCCCTTCCCCACTCATGTTGTTTCTGTCTTTTTCAAAATAAATAAACTTAAACAAATTATTTAAAATTAAAAAAAAAGATTATACTACAGACACTATGGAAAGTACCTTGAATTCTAGGCATTTTAGGGAAAAACTTTATGCAACCAATCAGATGTTCCATTTCTACATTTTTTAAGAGTAATTAAAAAAACAAAAAGATGGTCTCTCAAATCCCATTAAATACTCTCAGTGTATCTTTCAACAACTGGAAGCTTTGATGAGTGGTAAATATGACATTTTAGAGGCTGATTTTTTAAATAATGAAAATTGAGCATTTACATTGAGCTATGATGACTTCTGAAAAAGTAAATGTTGACACAGCAACATTGAAAAGCTTTAACTGATTTTTTTTTTTTTTTTAGTTGAAGCAATGCAAATTTATTATCTAGTAGTTTTGGAGGTTGGAATCAATGGGGCAAAATTAATGTGTCAGCAGAACTGCATTCTTTTGGTGGGCTCTAGGGGAGAATCTATTTCATTGCCTTTTTGTTTCTACAGGCTGCCTGAATTCCTTGGCTGGTGGCTTCATCACTCCCATCTCTGCTTCCATTGGCAGATCTCCTGACTCTGACCTTCTGCCTCCCTCTTTTAAGGACCGTTAGTGTTAACATTGGGCCCACCCACATAATCCAGGATAAGCTCCTCACTTTAAGATTCTTAACTTAGTCACATTTGCAAAGTTTATTTTACCATGTTAAGGTAACATATTCAAAAGTTTCAGGGATTAGGGTGTGGACATCTTTGGGGAGCTATTATTCTGTCTTCCACATAATCTTATTGCCCTTCTTCTGAAGCTCATATCCATACAGGTTCCCTCTGTGAGGTCTAGATCCAAGAGAGGGAGATTCTAATAGAGAAAGGGTCTTCTCTTCCACCTGCTCAAGACCCTCTTTGGATGACTAACCAAGAATCCACTTCCTCAGAAGACATCTTTCCCTCTTCCTCAGCGGGTGATTTTTCTCTATGGCTGCTGCAAGACAAGTTAATTAGAATACCATCCAGTACCTCTGACTTCAGTACCCTTATCCCAAACCATAGAAGGATGATGTCCTTACAAAAAACAAAAAACAAAAAAACAAAAAACAAATACAAAAAACAAAAACAGATAACCAAGGACTGAAGTTAAGACATCACAGCAGATACTTATCTTGCCAAATCCTATGCCCAGCCCACCAAGGATCATTGTCTTCTTTTATTTATTCAAATATAATTAACATACAGTGTTATATTAATTTCAGGTGTACAATATAATGATTTAGCAATTCTATAAATTTCTCAGTGTTTATTAAAATAAGTATACTCTTAAGCCTCGTTATTTATTTCAGCCATATCCCCACTGACATCCCCTTTTGTGAGAAGCTTCAACTAATTTTAAGTGAAAATCACTGTAATGAATGCAGTATATCAATACATTGCAAATGAAGAAAAAAATTGGGGCACCTGGGTGGCTCAGTCGGTTAAGCATCCAACTTTGGCTCAGGTCATGATCTCATGGTTTGTGAGTTCGAGCCCTGTGACAGGCTCTGTGCTGACAGCTTGCAGCCTGGACCCTGCTTTGGATTCTGTGTCTCCTTCTCTCTCTGCCCCTCCCCCACTTGTGTTCTGTCTCTCTCTATTAAAAAATAAATAAATGTAAGCAAAAAAATTTTTATAAAAAAGAAAAAAAACACAAAAGAGGCCACTGTGTTTTTTTATTACATCGAAATCAGTTCTTTCTCTAGCTGATTACTTATTCCATTTGAAGTAATACTTAACAAAATGTGCATATATAATAGAATTAAAAATTGAAAAAAACTTAAGTTGATTTCTGTTTGGCATGGGTCATAAGGCTCAAAATACATTAAAACTAACTTTGCTACTTAGTTAATGTAGGTCTTAATTTTCTAAAGTGGAGAGTATGTGGTAAATGAAATTTTAAATGTTTTGATAAGCAAAGACAAAGTCATAAACAACAGTTAATGAAATATTTTTCACATTAATAATTATTACCTTTATGATTATTACTTTTATAGCCATTAGAAAAATATTTAAAAAATTAACATTTTAATTTATTTTTGAGAGACACAGAGAGATGGAGTGTGAGCAGGGGAAAGGCAGAGAGAGAGGGAGACACAGAATCTGAAACAGGCTCCAGGATCTGCATGGTCAGCACAGAGCCCAACCTGGGGCTTGAACCCACCAACTGTAAGATCATGACCTGAACTGAGTTGGATGCTTCTCCAACTGAGCCACCCAGGTGCCCCATAATTACAAACATATAAATGGTTCTATCATTTTAAAGACAAAATGATCATTATATCTTTCACTAATCTGTGTTTCCAGTCTAATAAAGGTACCAAACTAAAACAGTATTATTGGTGCAAATATCAGAATCTGCTTTGTTATCACCTATATTTGATTTTCAACTATTTTTGCACTTACCTCATCTGTAGACTCAAAGTCCTCTTTGCTGCAAGAATGAAAATAAAAAGATAGACAACCTTAAGAAAATGTATGTATTGGTCATATATAAATGCTAGTGTTTCTAATTCTTTTATCTTAGTTTTAATATATCATAATAACAGCAATTCAATTTACAATTCAAATAAGAAATTTTAAACTAACTAAAATGGCACTTATGAAAAATAAAGATAATTTTCCTGAAACTAGTTAATCTACTAAAAATGACCAATATTGATTAGGGAGAGGAAGAGGCCAACATGGCAGAGAAGTGGGGCAATCCAAACTTCCCGCATCTCTCAAAGAAGTTCTGAAGCCAAAGGACTTTGAACCCCCAAGAGTCTGGGAGGGAAGGAGACTGAGTCTAAAAAGGAGTCACTGGAACATCCTTGACGGGCTATAGGTAGGTGATTGAGAACTGGGGGAGATAAAATGGGCCACATAAGCACAGAGGGGAAGGATCCCCTTTGGTGGAGAGACAAAGGGAAGAGAAACAGTTGCTGGGGAAACATACGACTGTATCTGGACAAAAGATAAACCTCGTCTGGGACTGAGAGCGATACCATCTCTAACTGCGGGGCTTTCTTGGACTGGGGCCAGCTGACCCATTCGCACATCTGGGGAGGAGGGGAGCCAGCCCTGGGTTCGGTGGTAGGTCAGGGGTGCAGTCCACAGTAGAAGAAACCAGTCCTCTCCTTGGAGTGCTGTGGGAAAGGACAAAGCCTGCCTGCCTCTGCCATCCCCGGGTTCAGTGGGGATGTCAGCAATACAGTCTGCAGCAGGAAAAGTTGGTCCTCCCTGAAGTGCTGCGGCACAGACAAAGCCAGCTGGGAGCACATATCAGGCTGCACAGAGAGGCACTTCCTCAGTGCCAGAGCAGACAGAATGGGACTTTGATCCCAGGCTGCACAGAGAGGCACTTCCTCAGTGCCAGAGCAGACAGAATGGGATTTTGAATCCTAGCCAAGCGCTGGTCAGGGGAGTCAGGGGAGAGAGAAGGCCCGCCCCATCTGCGCCTGCTGCACAGTGAGGAGGACTCAAATGGAGTCCACCAAGCCCCATGGAGAAGAGGCTGGGGGATCGCCATTCCCCCCCCCCCCACCCCAGCACCACCAAGGCGAGACCTCAGGGATCTGTCCGGGGCCCATAGTGGAGGCAGAACCAGCCTACACCAAACCATGCCCCTCCATGCCTGGTCACTGCATATCTGCTGGAGCAGGACAGATGCTGTGAAACCAAAGGGCTTTGTCATTCAGACCAGTGCTGCTGCAGGCCCTGGATTAATTCTCGGACAATTCTTGTTATTTAGATATATATTCCCTTCTTATCTCTTCCCTCCTCTAGGCTGGTTACTCTGGTTGTTGGTTTGTTTAAACAGACATATTTAATCCATTCTCTTCATACATGTTCTACACCATCTTCTCTACTTTCCTTTTCTCTCTTTGGAATAATCAAGCCATAGTTTCTCTGTCTGGGTAATTTTATCTTTTATTTTCCCCCACCTCCTTCTTTATTTTCTTTCTTTCTCTCTCTCTGGATAAGGCCATTTAGCCTCTCTGCCCAGTCAATGTTTATTTTCTCTTTGTCCCCACCCCTGTCATTTCTCTCTTTGTATATGCTCTTCCATCAGCACTGCCTCCACCCTTTTCTTTACTTGTAGCTGGTGTTTCTGCTTTTTTGCTTTTGGATTAGTTTGTTTGTTTTATGTGTGTGTGTGTGTCTGGTCTGTCTGTTTGTTTGTTTTATTTGTCTGTGTGTTTGCCTGTCTTTGTTTCCTGTTGGTTTTTCTGTTTGTTTTCCTTTCCAGGGCTACTTCAAATAACAACTCAAAGCAGATCTTGTGGAGGGTCCAAAACATCACTACAAGTAGAGAAATAAAATGACCAAAGTCAGGACAACACAGAGCAAGTAACACTCTCCAAAAAAACACCTACTGAAGGGCCAGGTCCTGAACAGTGTATGACCCCCCTTTAATATAAGAGTGCTCACAGGTACAGAGCACATAAGAAGCTTTTAAAACTCAAAAGGTACAGAAAAGTAGCCAAAATGATGAAATGGAAGAATTCCATGCAAAAGAAAATCCAGGAAGAACTGAAAGCTAAAGAATTGATTTAAACAGATATAAGCAATATAACTGAATAAGAATTTAGAATAATACTGATAAGATTAATCACTGGGCTTGAAGAAGGCATAGAAGACAGCAGAGAATCTATTACTGCAGAGATTAAGGAACTAAAAATCAGTCACGATGAATTAATAAATGCTATAAATGAGGTGCAAAATAAAATGGAGGCGGCCACAGCACAGATTGAAGAGGCAGAGGGGAGAATAGGTGAATTAGAAGATAAAATTATGGAAAAAGAGGAAGCTGAGAAAAAGAGAGATTAAAAAATCCAGGATCAAGAGGGGAATATTACAGAAGGAAGTGATGCAATCAACTGGAACAATATCTGTATCATAGGAATTCCAGAAGAAGAAAAGAGAGAGAAAGGGTCTGAAAATGCACTTTAATGAATCTTAGGTGAGAAATTCCCTGATCTGGGGAAGGAAAAAGGCAGTGAAATACAAGAGGCACAGAGAACTCTCTTCAGACATAACTTGATTCGATCTTCTGCATGACATATCATAGTGAAACTGGAAAAATACAAGGATAAAGAGAAAATTCTGAAAGCAGCAAGGGATAAACACGCTCTAACTTACAAAAGTAAACCCATAAGAGTAGTGTCAGATCTATGTACTGAAACTTGGCATGCCAGAAAGGAATGGCAGGAAATCTTCAATGTGATGAACAGGAAAACCATGCAGCCGAGAATTCTCTATCCAGAAGGTCTGTCATTCAGAATAGGAGAGATAAAGGTTTTCCCAAACAAACAAAAACTGAAGGAATTCATCACCACTAAACCAGCCTTACAAGAGATCCTAAGGGAGATTCTGTGAGTGAAATGTTGCAAAGACCACAAAGTACCAGAGGCATCACTACAAGCATGAAAGCTACGGACATCACAATGACTAAACCCATATCTTTCAAAAATAACACTGAATGTAAATGGACTAAATGCTCCAATCAAAAGACATAGGGTATCGGTATGGATAAAAAGAAGACCCATCTATTTTCTGTCTACAAGAGACTCATTTTAGACCTGAGGACACCTTCAGATTGAAAATGAGGGGATGGAGAACTATCTATCGTGCTACTCAAAGTCATAGGCAAGCTGGAGTAGCAATACTTATATCAGACAAACTAGACTTTAAATTAAAGTCTGTAACAAGAGATGAAGAAGGGCACTAGGTAATAATTACAGGATCTATCCATCAGGAAGAGCTAACAATTATACATGTCTATGCACCAAATTCGAATGCACCCAAATATTTAAAACAATTAATCACAAACATAAGCAATCTTATTGATAAGAATGTGGTAATTGCAGGGGACTTTAATACTCCACTTACAACAATAGACAGATCATCTAGACACATATCAGTAAAGAAACAATGGCTTTGAATGATACATTGGACCAGATGGACTTGACAGATATATTTAGAACTCTACATCCAAAAGCAGCAGAATATACTTTCTCCTTGAGTGTGCATGGAACATTCTCCAAGATAGATCATGTACTGGGTCACAAATGGCCCTCAATAAATATAAAAGAATTGAGATCATACCATGAACACTTTCAGATCACAATGCTATGAAACTTGAAATCAACCGCAGGAAAAGGTCTGGAAAACCTCCAAAGGCATGGAGGTTAAAGAACACCCTACTAAAGAACAAATGGGTCAACCAGGCAATTAGAAAAGAAATTCGAAAATGTATGCAAACAAATTAAAACGAAAAGACAACAATCTAAATGCTTTCGGATGCAGCGAAGGCAGTCCTGAGAGGAAAATACATTGCAACCCAAGCCTATCTCAAGAAACAAGAAAAATCCCAAATACAAAATATAACAGCACACCTAAAGGAAAGAAAAGCAGAACAGGAAAGACACCCCAAAGCCAGCAGAAGAGAAATAATAAAGAACATAGCAGAAATAAACAATATAGAATCAAAAGCACACTAGAACAGATCAGTGAAACTAAAAGTTGGCTTTTTGAAAAAATAAACAAAATTAATAAACCTCTAGCCAGGTTTCTCAAAAAGAAAAGAGAGAGGACCCAAATAGATAAAATCACGAATGAAAATGGAATTATGACAACCAATTCCTCAGAAATACAGTAATTATCAAGGAATACTATGAAAAATTATATGCTAACAAACTGGACAACCTGGAAGAAATGGACAAATTCCTAAGCACCCACCCACTTCCAAAACTCAAATGGATCATATGGAAATAGAAAATTTGAACAGGTCCATAATGAGTGAAGAAATTGAATCAGTCACCAAAAATCTCTCAACAAATCAGAGTCCTGACCCAGATGGCTTCACTGGGGAATTCTACCAGACATTTAAAGCAGAGTTAATACCTATCCTTCTCAAGCTATTCCAAAAAATAGAAAGGGAAGGAAAACTTACAGACTCATTCTATGAAGACAGCAGTACTTTGATTCCCAAACCAGACAGACACCCAGCAAAAAAAGAGAACTACAGGCCAATATGCCTGATGAACATGGATGCAAAAATTCTCAACAATATACTAGCAAAGTGAAGTCAACAGCATATAAAGAGAATTATTCATCATGATCAAGTGGGATTCATTCCTGGGCTGCAGGACTGGTTCAATATTTGGAAATCAATCAATTTGATACATCATATTAATAAAAGAAAATATAAAAACCACATGATCCTGTCAATGGATGCAGAAAAAGCATTTGACAAAATACAGCATCATTTCTTGATGAAAACCCTCAAGAAAGTCAGAATAGAAGGAACGTACTTAAACATCATAGAAAAGCCCACAGATAATATCATCCTCAATGGGTAAAAACTGAGAACTTTCCCGGTGGGATCAGGAACATGACAGGGATGTCCACTCTCTGTGATGTCCGCTTTGTGTAACATAGTGCTGTAAG